CTGCTCAGTAGAACTTTCTGTAATGATGGAAATGTTCTGTAGCTGTACTGTCTAATATAGTAGCCACCAGCCACATGTGACTGGTAAGCACTTGATATGTAGTAGGTGTAAGTGAAGAACTGAATTTTTAAATTTTATTTAATTTTAATTAAATCAAATTTATAGAGCCACACGTGACTCGTGGCTGCCTATTGGACACCACTGCTCTAGAAGATGAAATAAAAATCATCCAGAGTCCAATCCATAGGTAACTATTATTAACATTCCAGCATATTTTTATCTTTCTACGTTGTTTTATAAATCTGAGATCACCCTCTACAGATAATGTTGTACATTGCTTTTTATACTTCTTCTTATATCAAACACATTTTCCATAAAATCTCATTGGAAACATCATCTTCAAAGGTGGCCTAATATTCCAGTATATGGATATTCAACAGTTTAATTTGGTGCCCCTTCAAACTGATATTGGGGGAAAAAGAAAAAAAAGCACAACTTTGGTTCAGTGTTTACTTTTGAGGAGAGACAGACGTGGCCTGAGCATGGAGTGAAGACAGGAGATGACCAGTCCCATCAATCAGTCTTCCCTGTTATCAAGCAATTCCGCTCTGGCCTTCAACCTGCATATCCCACTCCAAACCAAAGCCCTGCCATTAGTACAACCTCACCTTCTTAGAAAATGTTGAGTGACACTCTGTTGTTACTTGCTCATCGTTGTCAAGGAAGCCTATAAAGGTTCCCCTAGACCCAGCTCTAGCACTAGGTGTATAGATCCGATGAGTTACTCAGCAGTCCACCTGGTTTATTCCTCTTTTTGTTTCGCACTTATCAGAGTTATGAAGAAGTAAATATCAGACCTATCTGAATTTAAACTGCTTTTTTGTCTCTTCTGTTGAGGGCTATAAGACAGTGGCTACAAAGCAGACAACAAAAAGAAGAAAAGAAACTGTGCCTTAAATAACCCAAAATAGCAATCTCTGAAAAATAAAATTTTGCTACATTGACTCTGTCCAGGGAGGAATAGGCAGGCAAGAGCAGGGGATGAGAATCCTTCCAATGTCCTGAAAATCCATTATGGGGGTTTTTTNAGGCAAGAGCAGGGGATGAGAATCCTTCCAATGTCCTGAAAATCCATTATGGGGGTTTTTTGTTTGTTTTTTTAATTTTACTGGGATTGCATGATACAGTCATGGGAGGTGAAATCAAAACCTCTCGAAAACAAAACTACAGAACTCATCCCAGAAGTAAACCATTTCCTCTTACCAACTTTGAAATCCTCTTGCCTGAACATGAATATGAGGCCTGAAATTCCAACTCTGTTAGGCACACCATAAACACCCCCCCTAATGATCTACCCTCCTCTTCTCTCCTTCTGACATTCTCCGAACACTCTTTACAGAAGAGAAAATTAAACATAATTCTCATATCAGTAATTCCCATAGCTATGAAAACATACACTTCTTAGGTCCCAGCATCTACTGACAGGGTGACATCATGAAGATAAAAATGCAGGTCCTGTTGGGTGTTTGGCCCCAATTCATGTTTTCCATTTGGAGATGACATAATTGGGTCACTCTGGTTACTCTGCTGTAATTGTACAAGAACCACATCTAGTCCTGTGACTGAAGATCTCTTTTATCACTGAAGTAAAGAGGAAAATGCAGGAATAGAGAGGAAAATACAGGACACTCCTGGATTGTGATCAACAGCCATGGCACACAAAAGAGTGCTCTTCAGGAGGCTTTTGGTAGAGAAAGATGTGCCATATTGTGTTTTCATCCAAATACTGTTTCTGCAACCAATGCCAGAGAGATGTCCATTTCACTCTGGAGATACAAATATCCAATGTCGACCTTTCTTTTGAAAGCAGAAATTCAGTAATATAATCAGTAAGCAGTTCATGAACCCCAGAGAAATTA